GCACCCTCAATGGGACAGGCCACATTCCTTTGCCTCAAGGATCGTTTTTTCTTTTTTTTTCTTTTTCTTTCTTTCTTTTTTTTTTTTTTTGTTTGGTTTTTCGAGACAGGGTTTCTCTGTGTAGCCCTGGCTGTCCTGGAACTCACTCTGTAGACCAGGCTAGCCTCGAACTCTCGAACTCAGAAATCCGCCTGCCTCTTCCTCCCAAGTGCTGGGATTAAAGACGTGAGCCACCTCCGCCTGACCATTTTTTTTTTCGCTTTTAAACAATACACTTATAATTACATTCCTGCTAACCTGTCTCATAATACCCATTGTTGTTTAAGCAGACTGTTTATAATTTTTCCTACAGTCCAGGAAGAAAAAGCGCAATAAAAAGCCCTCTGACCCGTGTCAGAGGCAGATGGAGCCTCTGCTTGGAGACTGATAACATAGCCCTCTCCTGAAAACCTGAGGCCGTATGGCTCTCACATTCTCTGCAATGGCTGTGTGCACTGATGATCCGCTTACCTGGACTGCCCGTAACATAGCTAAAGGTTTACACTATCCCTCCGTGGCTATTGCCTTGTTAAATAAAAATCAAAAAGACCTGACAGGCTATACTATATAACAGGGCTGCTACTGATTGCCTGCTGTTACTGTATCATCAAGATTACCAACTTAGGAAAATGTGCTGTTTTAATCTCTCTGACAGAAGCAGTTCAATTAATGAAAAAAAAAATCAGAGTTACTAAAACTTGCAAAATGGGGTCCTCAAGATGCGGCTGAGATCTGATTGGATGGCTCACTTCATGGCTGGGCTGAGATCTGATTGGATGGCTCACTTCATGGCTGGGCTGAGATCTGATTGGATGGCTCACTTCATGGCTACCAAATTTTACTTGGGTAGGGCGGGTCCTTATTTTTCTCTGTCTTTTTGTTTTATGCATCCTGATGCCTACTTGTGGATGTCAGTGTCTACCCATTTGTATCCCCACCCCCATCAATCAGAAAAAAACCAAACCAAAAACTATAAATACAAAGGGCCTAACATTAAATTCTTCCAATTATGAGTTGATAATTCAACTCCTTCTCCTAGAGCCAGCTGGGAATGTGATGGGCTGCCGATCTGTAGTTATGCCATCTTGTAAAAGTTTTTAAAAATACTTTGCTCGGGTTGGAGAGATGGCTCAGCAGTTAAGAGCTCTGGCTGTTCTTGCAGAGGTCCAGAGTTGCAGAGGTCAATTCCTAGCAGCCACATGGTGGCTCATAACCATCTGTAATGGGATCTAATGCCCTCTTCTGGTGTGTCCGAAGAGAGCAACAGTGTACTCATATACACAAAATAAATACTTAAAAAATAAAAGGAATACTTTGCTTAGCTGAGTGGTGGTGGTGCACACCTTTAATCCCAGTACTCAGGAGACAGAGGCAGGAAGATCTTGGAGTTCAAGGCCAACCTGGTCTATAGAGTGAGTTTCAGGACAGCCAAGGCTACAATAATAAATGAAGCCACATAAACATGGTCCCACATTCTCTTCCCTACCTCATCAAAATAGAAAGTTTTAGAAACATATATATATATATGTATTTTTTTTTCAGACACTGAGGACTCAGGCTTCCTTGTATTAGGTAAGGGGCAAAATGGCCTTCCCCAAGTCACAGGCCTTTATTATGTAGCTTCATATATTTCCTTATATGGCTAGATGCAGATTCTTAGAAACTCCACATTAATTGTTTTGTAATATTACCCATATAAAGTGCACAGTGCACAATGAAGATTGTATAGGGATATTCATCGCAGCACTGTTGTGAGAATAAATTCATTAAAGAAACTTCTGAATAAACTATTATACCTCTCTAACTGAGCTACCTAGCAAGACCCCTTCTCAAGGAAGAAAGAACAAAAACAATCCCCACATGACTGGAAGTCTGTATATATTTATGTAAGGAAGGCTGCATCAAGCTATAAACCCTGCTCAGATGCTCACAGTCTGGATATATTTATGTAAGGAAGGCTGCATCCTGTTATAAACCCTGGTCAGATGCTCACAGTGTCTTTGCAAGGCCACTTTCTTCCCCCTCAATTTTTTTTTTTTTGTTTTTTTGTTTTTTGAGACAGGGTTTCTCTGTGTAGCCCTGGCTGTCCTGGAACTCACTCTGTAGATCAGGCTGGCCTCGAACTCAGAAATCCCCCTGCCTCTGCCTCCCAAGTGTTGGGATTAAAGGTGTGCACCACCACTGCCCGGCCCCCCTCAATTTTTTTTAAAAATATTTATGTGAGTCAGAGTTTTTGCATGGGAGCCTGGGAGGCCAGAAGGTGCCAGATTTCCTGGAACCAGAGATACCAAGAGTTGTGGGTCACTTTATGGGTGCCCAGGGATGGAACAGCAGTCTTTGCTAGGGCAGCAAGTGCTCTTAAATGGAGAGCCATCTCTCTATCGATTCTATTTTCCTTTAAAAAATTAATTAAAAATGCTATTAGCTAGGCATAGTGGAACACTCTTTTAATCCCAGCACTTGGGAGGCTGAGGTACGTGGATCTCTGAGCTAAAGGCCAGCCTGGTCTACAAAGGGAGTTTCAGGACAGCCAGGGCTATACAGAGAAATCCTGTCCTAACCCCACCCATCAAAACAATTAAATTTTTCTTGTGAATATTCATTGTATATGGTACTTTTATATAAGGATTTCTTTCACTTTTCACATTTTATTTAGTAAATACTGGGTGCCTACTATGTGCAAAATACCAGTGGAGGAGGCCAGGACTGCTGGGCCATAAAAATGATGGAATGACTGATCTCAAGAAATTATATTCAAGTAGGGAGATAGCTCTTAATGAAAGTAACAGATGAGAATACTCTGGAAAAGTACAGGGGAATTCCAGTCCCAGGCAGAGTACAGAACATGGTTTTCAGGGATAAACCCATTTAAAATGATTTTATGTATATGCGTGTGTGAGTACACACGTCTGTGGATGAAGGCCAGAGGACAGTACTGGAGGTGGTTCTATAGGCATCATTCCTTGGTTTGTTTGTTTGGAGACAGGGTCGCTCATTAGCCTGGGACTTGCCAAGGAAGTTAGACACCTGGCCAGTGAGTCCTAGGGACCTGACTGTCCCTGTCTCCCCAGTGATGAGTTATAAACCTGCAATATCCTCTCACTTCATAAAGACATTTTCACACAAGTATATATGTTGAATATATTCCTCTGGTATTCCCCTATCCCTGCATTGCTCTTCTCCAGTGCTTGGCGAATCCTGGAAGTGTATCATTGTTTTTTTTGTTTTGTTTTGTTTTGTTTTTCCATCCAGGTATCTTTTGGTTTAAAAGAGACATAAGAAGTGGGAGGATCTGAGATTTGAGCATGGCACACACAAATGGTCATTTTACTTAACGCTATTTTCTTTTCGTTTACTGCCATGGACCACCTCAGCCAGGTACGGGAGTGCCTAGGTTGAGGGTCCTTGAAAGCTAGGTAGGCAAGGATTCAGTGGTGACAAACAGAAACGAACACAGAGGCAGTTTGAATCTGACTGTAGTTTGCAGCTCTCAAGCAAGGGTTCTTATACAGAGAAAAACCAAATATTACAGCTCCTAGGAGATGTATACAGGAAAGCAATCAGCAAAGCACAAGAATCATCCAAGCAGATCGACTGTAAAAAGATATATTCAATAAATCACAAATATAATAGGTAACATCATTATTATTATTTGACACAATAAAAATCATTCAAGTATTACAACTCTGAAAGGATGAATTCAGTGGAAGAGTCATCCAAGGCTAGTGGCAGATCTCCAAGAGCAGGTTAATTAATCTTCATAATCAGCTATTAGCATCTAATACCTGATTTTTTTTTATAAATCTTCAACGCACAAATTTAAACTTTTAATTCTTTTTATTTAAGGCTTTCTTTATCATATACCGAAGCCCTCTGCTGATGACACACGTATAGCCATATGAAATTTTATTGTTGGGAAAGTTTTATTTATCATAATACTATAATGTAGCTTTGTAAATGATTATAAGGTAAAGCGTCAGTTTCCCTGGAGGCAAGGTGATGTTAGTGACCCCATCTCAAGGCATGATTTCTTACCCATTTTCCTTGCTTAAGATCTTGGCGTAGGCTATCAGGAACATGTTATAAATAAGAAAAGGAATAAGAGAAACTAAAACGGATAAGTTGCCATGAGAACTACGGCTCAATGTTTTGGACCTGGCAAGGGTTCCACAACTGGTCCCAGGAGGCCTCCTTCTTTTGAAGTTTTCGCCTCAGTCTGTGGAACTTGTCACACAGATTCTACTGGGGTGGTGATGGGGTGGTGAAGCAGTTTACTATCATGCATATGCAATATCTTTTAACAACCACGATCAAAAGACAAAATGTCTTGGGAGGCAGAGGCAGGCGGATCTCTGTATGTTCGAAGCCAGCCTGGTCCACGGCGTGAGTTCCAGGACATCCAGGGATACACAGAGAGACTCGTCTCGAAAAAAACAAAAACCAAGAAAACCCAACCAAACAGAACAATCGTATGGTGGTGGGCCAGGAGTTCCAGGACAGCCAGGGCTACACAGAGAAACCCTGTCTTCAAAGATTAAAAAAGAAAACCAAATCCCCCTAAACAATCAAAATCCCAAATCCCAACCACCTTTCTCAAACCCAATCGACAAACCTACACTTCTTATCAATTCCTTCATTCCACATCTACCCTTCCTCCTAGAGCAAAAACTTGCTATGGTTTTTTGCTTTAAGGGCACGATGAGAACCTTGCAGTGAAAAAAACTCTAGAAAAAAGATATTTTACTTGTAGGTAAACCGGAGGATTTATCTTGATTCTCTTTTTCGAATAAACAAGGCTATCAAGGAACAGGTGAGAAGATCATTTTTTAAAAAGTCGAACTCTTCGAAAAATGAAGCCAATTTAAGGAGGAATCAGTCCTATTCCAAAAGGTAAAGGGTGGACGCGCGCTGCATGCCGGGATTTGTAGTCCGGGGCGGGTGAGAAGCGCCTGCGCAGAGCGACGCGGCGCTTTTTCGGCGCCTGCGCGCGGCAACGGCGCCAGACTCAGAGTCTCCAGCTTCCGGCGCGCGGTCCTTGCGGAGGGAGGCATGGCGGCGCCCACCGCGGTCTTGGGTCCCTCGGCCCTCGGCCAGAGCGGCCCCGGCTCGATGGCGCCCTGGTGCTCTGTGAGCAGTGGCCCGTCTCGTTACGTGCTCGGGATGCAGGAGTTGTTCCGAGGCCACAGCAAGACGCGTGAGTTCCCGGCGCACAGTGCCAAGGTACACTCGGTGGCCTGGAGCTGCGATGGCCGTCGCTTGGCCTCGGGGTCCTTCGACAAGACTGCCAGCGTGTTCTTGCTGGAGAAGGACCGGCTGGTGAGCTTCTAGGGCACGGGCCTGGCCGGGAAGAGGGCTGTGTTTGGAGGAAGAGACATGGGGGTCTGGGTGGGGGGGATGGCCTGTCATTGGCGGTGATGAGGAAGGGATTTGGGGGGCTAGAGAGTTGGGGTGACGAATGCGGTGAGGCTGCCTGGCGGAGAGCAGAGAGTGAACTTAGTGACAGTAAAGAGGTGGGGCGACGTGGCTGCGAGCTAGGGGAGGTTGAAGTCAGGTGGCTGAGAGTGGTGAGGGTCTAGAAGAGCCCTGGGTAGGAATCCCCGATGAGGAGTGACTGGGGACTGATGAGGTCGAGAGTCCCTAGGGTCGAGAGGAGGTTTTATTTGAAAATGGTAGCGCATCTTTTGGGAGTGGACCAGGTGGGTTGGAATGGTGGTGGGAAAAGAAAGAAGCCAGGAAAGGCCAGTGCCTAGAAGCTCAGAGAGGTTCATGGGGGTTGAAGTTTTGGAAAAAGGACTGGATTTCTGTTTTGAATTATTCAGATCTTTGCTGGTTTGGATAAAAGTGGCATCTGGATTCTATTCCTTTAAGGTCAAAGAAAACAACTACCGGGGCCATGGGGATAGTGTGGATCAACTTTGCTGGCACCCAAGCAACCCGGACCTCTTTGTCACCGCATCTGGAGATAAAACCATTCGTATCTGGGATGTGAGGACTACAAAATGCATTGCCACCGTGAACACGAAAGGTAAGGTCAGAGGTTGGGGTTTCAGGGAGAAAAGCTAGTGTGTCTTTTCAGCAGCCATTTACTGTGTTCTCTGTAGCTAGTGCAGGTTATCAGGATGAGATGTATGTCTGCCTGGAGAAGACAAGGAAGAACAGAACTGGAGCACTTTTCTGACAGGATGTAGATGTATCTAGCTGAGCAGTGGAAGCCATACAGAGTAGTGGGTGCAGAGGCATGGAGAGTTTGGGAGATTCTGGCAGAGAAACCCTGGGTGACCTGGAAAAGTTGTGTGTTGTGTTTAAAAGCTGTGTTCGGAGAAGCAGTGTGGTAATTTGTATGCGCTTGGCCAGGAGAATGGCACTATTAGGAGGTGTGGCCTTGTTGGAGGAAGTGTGTTACTATGGGTATGGGCTTTAAGACCCTCATCCTAGCTGCCTGGAAGCCAGTCTTCTCCTGTTTGCTTTTGGATTAAGATGTAGAACTCTCAGCTCCTCCAGCCCCACATCTTTCTGAATGCTGCTCTGCTCCTGCCCTGATAATAATGGACTGAACCTCTGAACTTTCTTTTTTCTTTTCTTTTTTTTTGGTTTTTCGAGACAGGGTTTCTCTGTGTAGCCCTGGCTGTCCTGGAACTCACTTGGTAGACCAGGCTGGCCCCAAACTCAGAAATCCACCTGTCTCTGCCTCCCAAGTGCTGGGATTAAAGGCGTGCGCCACCACCGCCCGGCGAACCTCTGAACTTGTAAGCCAGCTCCAATTAAATGTTCTTTATAAGAGTTGCCTTGGTCATGGTATCTCTTCACAGCAGTAAAACCCAAACTAAGGCAGACAGTTTTGTTGATTTTAGATTTTTTTATAAATGTGTGTGTGTGTGTGTACCACATGTGTATAGGTGCCAAAAGAAGGTGTCTTATCCTCTATAATTGTAGTTATAGGTGATTGTGAATTGTGGGTGTATGGAATTGAACTCAGGTCTCCTGGGGGGAAAAAAACCAAGTGCTCTTAACCACTGAGCCATTTCTAGCCCCACAGCAAAAAATAAATAAAGTAAAATGTATTTTTTTTTTTTTTTGAGGGGGAGACAGTTTCTTTGTGTAGCCCTAGCTATCCTAGAACTCACTCTGTAGACCAGGCTAGACTCATGAACTCAGAGATTCACCTGCTTCTGCCTCTGCCTCCCAAGTGCTGGGTTTAAAGGCATGTAGCACCACCACCAAGCTCCCACAATAGAATTCTTGATACACTTTCTGGTAGATTTTCAAACTGCACTATAGACAGTAGTGAAACTTCTGTGGTCAGTGTGGACACTCCTGGCTTTGATGAGACTGGTACCAGGGGGTGGAATGGGGTAGCGCTTTTGACAAATGTTTAGAGTTGTGGTTGCCCTCTTGGTCAGCGGAAGCTTCCTTCCATTGACTTGGTGACGAATGAGTGCTGAAGGTAGCTCTGATCTTCTTTCCAGGAGAGCAGAATAAGCTCTGGAGGCTGATGGGCAAAAGTGAGCTTGCTGACGGCTTGTGTCTGGGTTCCCAGGGGAGAACATCAACATCTGCTGGAGTCCCGACGGGCAGACCATCGCAGTGGGCAACAAGGACGACGTCGTGACCTTTATCGACGCCAAGACACACCGCTCCAAAGCAGAGGAGCAGTTCAAGTTTGAGGTCAATGAGATCTCGTGGAACAATGACAACAACATGTTCTTCCTGACCAACGGCAACGGCTGCATCAACATCCTCAGGTGAGGGTCTGGCCGGGGAGCGTCACCTCTGCACTGACTCCCTGCCAGGTGCAGAGAGGAGTTAGCTGCGAGCCTACGCCAAATACTTGAAACAGAGAATGTTAAAAAAAGGTCTACTTTGTTTTAGGCATTCTGGATGTTGTGAGTTTGTTCTGATACTGGTCATTTCCTGCTGATGGAGAGGAAACTGAGGCTTGTGAAGGTTCCGCTGTCAGCCCGCCCAGGGGCCTGATGCTCCTTGAACTGTGCCTGACTCACTCTTTCAAAGTCTCAGCTTAAATACCATTTTTCCTCTAGCAAAGTCACTTCATCCTCCTCTCCAAGATTGGAGGGTTTTAGTGTATCTTGTGCCCTTCTTCCTATTTCTTCTTCTTTTTTAATGATTTATTTATTTATTTATTTACTTACTTGGAACTAGAATTATAGATGGTTGTGAGCTGCCATGTGGTTGCTGGGAATTGAACCTGGAACCTCTAGAAGAGCAGCCAGTGCTCTTAATCGCTGAGCCAGCTCTCCAGCCCCAGGAAGCATTTCTAAATTTTGTATTATAATGAGCACTTTATCTCTATTTCTCATTGCACTAGCAATTTCATGGTGGAGAGGACTGTGTTTGTATTGTTTTCCATTGAATTGCTAATGCCTAACCCGGTGCCGGTCTTAATAGTGGGATCTCAGTAAGTACTTGTTGTATAAGTAAACAAAAATGTAAAATTAGGATTCAGGGCCGTGAGGCTGTGCTTATTGCTGTGCCAGGGAGTAGTGCAGGACAGATGGCCATCGTTTCTCTGGTGGAGAGGATGATGTTTGTTGTGAGTCCTGTAGCTTTTAATTTTTCAAAGCCTACTTTTAATGATGGCTCTTAAATGCTTTAACCTCCCTTCTAGCCCACTGCTCACCAGAGGTAGTGGAAAAGAAAGGATACGGGGGAAGTGGACCTGTTTAGAAATTGTTCTTCGGAGCAAATCCCATCCAAGTTGTCAGGAAGTCAGCTGTTCAGTTCATAGGTCAGCAGCGGCAGCTCGATCCACTAGTAAATACTTCATGAATAAATCAATAGTCTAACTCGGTAGAATTGGGATAGCAGCATGAGTTAGCAGCGGTGGCACGACCTGGCAGAGACAACTAGGCTAGCAAAATTGACATGAGTCAGCAGGAGGAACCAGGAAGTAGAGACGCCAGGAGAAGAGCTCTTTCAACAAGATGGAGGTCAGTGAAGATGTGAGAAGTGTTGTAGAGCTAACTTTACAAGCAGGCCCTTCTCTGTTGATACTCCCTCCTGTTTATACTCCCTCCACACATCATGAGTCCTCCACGGGTCTTTCCTCATCAGGTGTCTTGCCTCAGTACATGAGTCTGTCTTAGCAAATTCCACTAGTCTGTATCTAGTGACATCACTCTGCCAAAGGGCATGAGTCCTTGGAAGCCGCAGCCACCACCACAAGTTTCTTGGTGTGATTCTCCATGGAGTCCTGACAGTGGCTCTCAGCCAACAGGTGCACGTCAGTAGTGAAGAATCCTTTATCACTGTCCTGTCTCATGTTTGCTTTAGCAAAGCATCCTTTCTCCTGTGTCTGCGTCAGGAAAAAACCTCTGTCATGTGTCTGCCATCCGACACAGCTGACTTTCCAAAGAACCTTTCAGTTTCCACTTCATAATCCCAAGTTAAACAAAACAAAATAAAAATCATATTGGCAGAGGATATTGAAGGAATTATGTATTTGTAGACTTTAGATACTGTACTGTGCTTTTTTTGTATGTTTGTGTATTGGATAGTTTTGCTAGGTATAATACTCCTAGATTTGCTTTTTTGCTTCTGTGTCTTCTTTTTCCCCACAGTGATGCTTTCAGGAAGTGTAGAGATGGTCTAATTTTCTGTGAGGTCCAGTAACCTTACTGATTGATCTAGGTGTTAGATGGTCTCTGCTCGTATGTATGTAGGCCTCTGTTGTGCTCTTGTACTTGAGCAAACCTTTTTTTTTTTTTTTCCTTTAGGGAAGTTTCTGTTACTGTTCTTTTTCTTGGTGTCTTAGTGCCCTGGCCCTCTTCTGCACGTTGATGGCTGTGTGTCTTCTTTCTCAGCTATCCAGAACTGAAGCCTGTGCAGTCCATCAATGCCCATCCTTCTAATTGCATCTGCATCAAGTTTGACCCTATGGGGAAGTACTTTGCCACAGGAAGTGCGGATGCCTTGGTCAGCCTCTGGGACGTTGATGAGTTAGTGTGTGTGCGGTGCTTCTCCAGGTACGTAACCGACAGACAGGCTTTTCCTGTGGGAAATCAACCTTTCTTCCCTCTTTTGGGGGTAACTCTGATGTTTCTCTCCATCCTATCATAGACTGGATTGGCCTGTGAGGACTCTCAGTTTTAGCCATGATGGGAAAATGCTGGCGTCGGCTTCGGAGGACCATTTCATTGACATAGCTGAAGTGGAGACAGGTATCTTAGCTTGAATCCTGTGTGCTTGATACCTGGCCTCAGGCATCTTCTGTTCACGCTTTAGCTCTGGACACTGCTGCTTCACCAGGGGCATCGCATGGGTTTGTGTTGTGGGGACATTTGTTGATAGGATTGTCAGTTCCATGTAATGGTTGGATGGAAGGACAGGAGCAGAGCGCCAGGTCTGAAGGGAAGTACTGTAGGAAACACTTTGCGTTTGTGTTATTTCTTCCACTGTCTAAAAATACATTTTAAAAACTGGTGGGCTTTTTTTTTTTTTTTTTTTTTTTGAGACAGGGTCTTTGTAGCTCTGATTGGCCTAGAACTCCTGATGTAGGTGAAACTGTCTTTGAATTTACAGAGAACATCTGTCCCTGCTTTCTGAGTGCTGGGATTAAAGTATGACATCCTCGTGCCAAGCTAAAACTTCCTCAAATAAGACACAAAGAACGGGCATTTATGTATAATCCTCCCAAACCGCACTGCCCCCTTCTGACATCTGTCAGTTTCTGTGTTCCTTGGTCATTTGTAAATACATGTCACCTGGGAAACATTTCAGGTGTTTTCGTGATTGTTTTGGTTTTCTTCAGTTGTGTAAATTTTTATCTTAACCAAATCCATAAGAAATGATGCAGAATTAAATACCTAAAGAAAAGTGAGAGTTGTGTGGCAGGGACACCAGAAACCACAGGGTGTGTCTACAGAGCCTGGACAAGCTGGAGATGGCGGTCTCTGTAACAGAATTACTTAAACACTACATAGATACAACAAGAATATATACTTATGTACATACATGCATACATTTAATAGTTTATGATATGATTTGTAGACCATATGGTTGACTTGTGAGATGTATGTCATCAGCATGGCTAGCATCTTTATATTGGTACCACACTGTAATCTTTTGTAAAAACATTTTAAAAAACCAAAAACATTATTTGTCATTTGTGGATGTTTTGCCTATGTGTCTGCATTTGGATCCCTGGATGCTGCTTCCCTTTGGGTTGGAGGTAAACAGATGGCTCTGAGCTGCCATGTAGGTGCTGGGATTTGAACCTGGGTCCTTTAGAAGAACAACCATTGTTCTTAGCTGCTAAGCCATCTCTCCAGCTTCCACATTGTAACTCTCAACTCTTAAGTTAGGGAGAAAATTTGGCGCAGACCTGAAAGAAATCATGTATAATTTCAACAAATGAGAAGTGAACTTTTAGGCAAAAGTTATTTGCAAGGCTTTGTGGTGTGTGAGGTGTGTGGATTTGGAGACAAACCGCCTTCGTTTCCTTAGGTACCACTCTGTTAAGACACTAGTCCCTTTCATTTAAGAAATGTCTCTGCCTTACAGGCCTGTCCCTGGCATTCAGTGAGGACAGGCTCTCTGTAAGGTACTTAGCAAACAATAGCTGGTAATTGTTTTTCCAGGGATTATAGAGTAGAGGCCTAGACTCATAAGTTACCCTGCTTGTGTGTGACATCTCTATATGTCAAATACTTAATGAATGTGCTACTTAATAACATTCTTTCTGTTGCTTTCTATAGGAGACAAGCTATGGGAGGTGCAGTGTGAGTCCCCGACCTTCACCGTGGCTTGGCACCCCAAGCGGCCTCTGCTGGCTTTTGCCTGTGATGACAAAGATGGCAAATACGACAGCAGTCGGGAGGCTGGAACTGTGAAGCTGTTTGGGCTTCCCAATGACTCCTGAGAGGGCCAACGGAGAGAGGAGGCCCGGCGGACTATTTGGGCTTCCTAATGACTATACCTGACGGGGAGAGGAGGCCTGGGCTTCATAGTGACTCCTGAGAGGACCTGACGAGGAGAGGAAGCTGGGCACAGGCCTTCCTTTTTGTATAGTTCAGTGTAGCCTTTTGGACTTTGTGGGCACCCTAAATGTTTATAAATGTCATAAACTACAAAAGCAATCTTTGGTCAGGTTGTGCATACCTTAACCCTCTTTGTGGCACTGGAAATTGACTTAGCCTCACTTGTGGTAAGCAAGTGCCCACCCTTAGCTCCATCCCCAGCCACTTCTTGGGTTTTGTTTTGTTGTATTTTGTGTTAGTTAGCTAATATGGACTTTGCAAGTATGGGTTATGATCTGTTGTTTTAGAGTTTTCTAAAGGAACACAACTGGTAGAATATCTGTCTAAGAACAGAACTGATAAACTGTTTGTCTGTATATATCTATGTCTCTCTATATGGGATTTTATCAGAGTGACTTACAGGCTGTAGTCTGGATAATCAGTCCAACTACACTGTCTCCTGATGGAAAGGCCAAGGATCCAGTAGTTGTTCAGTAGTGCTAATCTGGCGCTGGAGTCCTGAGGAATTCCTAGAGATCGTTGGTCTGTGTTGGAATCCTGAAGAAGTAGGTTCTCATTACCAGGGAAGGGATGCCTCAGCAGCAGGGTAGATGCACCAGGCAATGAGAGTGAGGGCAAGCAGGCAAAAGCCAAAGCCAACTTTCCGTAACCTTTCATATAGGCTCCCACCAGCATGTGTGTCCTAGGTTTATGTGGGTCTTCCCACCTCAGGTGATCAAGAAAAGTCTCACAGGTGTGCCCTGGTGGTTGGGTTTCAGTGATTTCCATTTGCTGCTGTCAAGTTGACAACCAAGATTGCCCACCACATGATGAGCATAGCCTGCCTTCTGTGAGTGCTTCGTTTTCTGGATTTTACTATGGCAGAGTTTGTTGGACATGCCGCTTAGGCAGTATCTATTTAGAGGCAAGGTAGCATAGGTATGGGAGTTTTAAAATTTTTGAGAACTGAGCATTCAATAAAACTGGCTTTTATTATGAGGTGTCTAAAGTTACTGTTACTATCTTTATTCCAGGAAGATACTGCAGTTTTAAATTTGGTTTTGGTTTTAAATCTGAGCATTTATGATCCTGTCTAACGTCCTAACCAAGATTCCTGAACCGCAGTGCTGGGCTGCTGTGGTGTCTTAAAGTCACCTGCTTACAGGAGCGGGTGTTTATCTGGCCTCAGTCTACCTGGTTTTAGAACAAATTAAGGCAAACAAACACCATAAAACAGAAATAAATACATAATCAGATTGAGATCAATTAGAAAGTCCAGGCGTAGGAAATGTAAGAGCATGTGAGGAATGAGGCCGTACATGGGCAATCTGACTCAGAGTGAACTTCCACAGCAGACTGAGGATGGAGGAAAGCCAGTTTGCTAGCTGGCTGCTTGGACGCAAGTTCTCAGTATGTTGCACAGGCTGGGACTTGTGAATGTAGCCCAAGTAGACCTAAACTCACTGTCCCCCTGCCTCAGCTCTCTGAATGTCACTGTTCCAGGCAGATGTCACCATTGTTGCTGGAATCTTTCTGGAATAAACACTCTGACACCAGTGTGAGTTGAAGAGGGGTGTCACTGGTGAACTAAAACCAGGACAGCTGAAATTCGGCCTCAAGCCCCAGTCTTGTCTGCATTCTCAATTTTCACTTTTAAAACCACAAGGTGGCGCGAAGAAGCAATCACGATTCCACAGAAGCATACCTGCAGGTTGTTACGGGCAACAGCGAAGAGAAGAGCGGTTGAGCTCTTTCTCCAGGTCATTCTGTTCCAGGCATCCAGTGAAGTCATGCTAGGCAAACAGGCAGGACCAAGCAGTGCTTTAAGTACATCTCTAAAGAAGTCAGTAAATGAGCATCTGATAACCGGCCTTTTCTACCTTCTACTTCACCGTGCCTTGCTGCTTAAGGGAAATGCTCGGCAGGGCTGGTGAGAAGGCTCTACCCACATCTGAGTCAAACCTGACAACCTGCGTTCAGTTCCCAGGAGCCACGTGGTGGAAGGAGTACGGCAGCTCTACAGCGCTCTCCTCAGGTCTCCATGTTGCTCTTCCATGGAAAAATTAGACATTGTCAAACACCATGTTGGCTGTATTATGAGCATGTAGTGAGTCCTTAAAACTTAAAAAAAAATTTTTTTTTTTTTTGCTGCTATGAGGCAGGGTCTTGCAGTATGGATGGTGTTTTTGGCTTTACAGTCTTGGGGATTATGGGTAACACTGCTAGTCAAAATGTGGTTATGTTCAGATCCAGGTTTGCAGGAGGGCCTAGATGAGCCTTACCTTTGTGTCTGCAGATTGCCATTCGTCGTGTTTCCCAGGAAGTCTTGGGTCCCAGGCTAGTGAGGTGATGTGTTGATCTCAGTCTTGGGCTTAGGAATGTTTCTCCTGGCTTTCTAACAGCTGGTTGTGGACCTTCCTTGCCACCCACTGTATACGTCCAGTGGTGTTTTTGTCACCGCAGTACACTTGGACACATTGTTCTTGGTTTTTAACTCCTGTGGTCACTACTGTACCTACCTGTTCCCCTTAGTGTTGGAGGAGGATTGGTTTCAAACTTTGTTGATTCTGTCCTCATCTGTGTGGAATTTCCCTCCCTCAGTTCCCTCAGTTTGGGTAAAGAGGTGTACACTGCTTATCTAGAGATCCGATGTCACCTGGTGGAGGTCTACAGCTGTACACAATTCCTCTGGGGAAGGGCTCCCCTTAGTGGCAGTCTTTGCACTGTGTTTGCATGTGTGTGCATGCATTCGTGTGTGCGTGTGTGTATGTGTGTGTATGTGTATGTGGGTGTTGTATGTATCTTATAGAGACAGTTTTTGTTTGTATCCTTGGCTGTCCTGGAACTCACTCTGTAGACCAGACTAGTTTCAAACTCAGTGATCCACCTGCCTCTGCCTCCTGAGTACAGGGACTAAAGGTGTGTGCCACCTTTCTTGAACCCAGCTTTGCCTAGGAAGTTTTGGAAGCCCAGTCCATCAGAAGGATGACATTGTGTGTCCTCGACCTGGGGCTTCCCGTGGTTTCAGTGCATTCTGTAGTACAGAGCTGGTGGGAGGCTGGCGAGAGGCTGAGGACTGGATTTAGTTGGGCAGGATAAAACGGATGTTTACTGTCCTCTGACCTATCATGTGTTGGGCTGAAGGCAGAAAAAAGAAAAGGGTAGAAACTTTCAGCTGGGCATGGTGGCACACACCTTTAATTCTAGCACATGGGAGGTAGAGCCCATACGGAGTTAAAGCCCAGCTAGAACTATACTGGGACCGTTTCTTGGGGAAGTGGGGAGTGGGGACATTGCTGTGGCAGCCCTGGGACTGTGATGACATGAGATGCCACATGGTAAGCTGGCATGAGGTGTGTGTGAGGAGGCTTGAAAAAGGCAGAGGCAGAGGGGATTAGAAGGCAGGACTCCTGGGCGTATGCTGGCATCCAAGGGCAGAGAAGTGCATCAAAGGAACACACTAAGCCCAGTGAAGGCCAATGCTGCTCACAGAAGACAGATGTGGCATCTTGGGGGTGGGGAGACAGGAGAATGAAACCCTGAAAGGCCTGTGTGTGCCCATGTGTGCTGAGTGGAGTATGTGATGTGTGGGTAGGCTTAGCTTAAAGAGTGGGAGGAAGGGCCGGCAGAAAGGGCTCAGCAGCTAAGAGCACTTGCTGCTCATGCAGAGGACTCAGGGTCTGTTCCAAGCATCCACATACCCACACAGTAGCTCACTACCATCTGTAACTCCAGTTGCAAGACGTTCTCTGGCTTCTGCAGACACTGTATGTGTGTGGTGTACATACATATCTGCAGATCAAACAGTCATACACATAAAGATAAGACAGGTGATAGGTATGTTCTTGAGTCCCTTAACTTTGAAGTGTAGATTTCATCCCTGAAGACTTAATCATGGAAGGATAGATCCATGGAATGTCAACCCTCAGTGGAGGATGCAACCCTCACAGAGTTGAAAGGTCATCCCTAAGAGCAGGGAGCAGAGATGCCACACACTGGGGCCCACTGCAGACTCAGTTACCTATGTGCAAGTGAGCTGCTGCCTTTTCCCTGACACTGGCATAGTCCAGGTGACACCTCTAACTCTGGACCTGCCAGCAGTGACACACCAGACCCACTCTCTGATCAGTAAGCTCCCAGTACTGACACACCAGAACCACTCTCTGATCAGTAAGCTCTCGTGGGTCGTGAGGAGAGGAAAGAATCTTACACAGCACCTACCTGACACAAGAGTGATGCTTAGTAAATCCCTTCCCTGGAGAGAGGTGGGACAAGTCCCAGGAAGAGCTCAGGGGCTGGCTGCAGAGGCCTGTCACATGTCCTTCTCCCTCAGCTGGTGGTCCTCCCACTCTCCCCCCTACAGAGCAATGAGCCACACTCATCACGCAGGGGGAGGTGCTATGGAGAATGCTGAGCCACCACACCTGGGCGCAGGCGGGCGGCACGGAGGACGTTAGAGGTTCTTTTTACTCACAGCCTGTTTAGATCTGTGCTGGGTTCGTGTGTGATGAACAAGGAGAGTGTAACTCAAAAGTAAGTGCTAGAGGGTAGTGTGGGGAGGAGGGCAGAGCTCCAGGTAGCCTAGGCACCTAAGAGGGGGAGGGGGAGGAGGGAAAGGAGGAAGAAGAGGGGGAGGAGGAGAGAAGAGGGGGAGGAGTTGAGAAGATTAGGAAGAGAAGGAAGGGGGAGGGGGAGGAAGAGGGGGAAGAAAAGGGGGAAGAGGGAGAGGAGGAGAGAAGAGGGGGAGGAAGAGGAGGAGATAGAGGTTGTTTTCATGCAAGTCTTGAGTACTGTGTGCCCCCATGTGGAGCAGAGGCCACATAACAGGAGGGCAGCAGCCGGCAGCACAGCAAGGTCCTTGGGTGGAGGAGCCGGTCAGTGGAGTGTGAGGACTGGAGGAGAGGAGTCAGGACAGGAGACAAGACTCTATACCTGTGTGTGGGTGAGCACAGAAGGTAGGCCGTCAGGCGAGTAGGAAATGGATGACCTAGGTCCCTCTCTGGAAGAATCTGGATTAAGCTACTGGACCCTTGTGATTTTTCTTTCTTTTAAACAATTTTTCGAGTTTTGTTTTGGAGTTCTGGGGATCGAACCCAGAGCCTCACACACACTGGGCAACTGTTCTTCCACTGAGCCACATGGTTCTCTTTAAAACGTGTGCAATAACGGAGTGGCTTAGGGTACAGCTTGTTGGCACGTGAAGATGCCTGGCACATCACTGATGTTTGGTGAAAAGCCCTTTTGTCATCCGGGTGCTGTGCTGATGCTGTGTACACTCTGCTGTAGGAAGGGCTTCTGCCATGCTCTGGGCCTGTCACCTGAGCAAAGGGGAGATGCAGAGTGGACTTTCATAAAGAAGGAGTGGGGCGGGATTTGCAAATGAACATCTAATGAATGCTTCTCAGTATCTCTTCACACAGCTTTAATACTGTATTAGTTACTTTTTATAGCTGTGATCAAACACCATGACGGAGTCCATAATGACTAGGGGAGGACTGGCCACCAGAGCAGACAGCAGGCTCATCCCATACTCAAGGACAAATGCAAAGCAGAAAAGCAGAGGGCAGGCTGGACATAGGCAGAGCTACAAACCTGTAAACTCAGAACTCATCCCTAGTGCTATACTTACTCTAGCAAGGCTGCACCTCCTAAAATGTCCCATAACCTCCCCAAACCTCACTACCTAGTGGGGACCAAGTTTTCAAATGGGGGACATTTCATTGCATCCACAGTATATTGAAAACTGTTTAGTTAGCAATTAAGATTTACCTTTGGTTTTTATGTTTGGAATTATTGCCAAATGAAGGTATAATGTTTAGTTTCTGTATTTTTGGGATGTTGGGTCTTCAGTCTAGGACCTCACACATGATAGGGAAACACTCTGCAACTGGGAAGCACTCTGCAACTGGGCTACGCTCCCATCTCTAAGTTCTGAGTTTAAAGACACCTAATATCTTCATCTTTTATATGTTAGGGAGAGGACTGGGTATGAAATGCCA